AAGACACTTAGAAATCAAGCACGTAATAAATGAGCAAAGACTCAATACAATCCAGTTGGTTTCCATGAAAAAAATCCTATAACATCTGAAAGTTTCTTTTTACACAGTATGGGGAAAACATATCTGAGTCACAGTAAAAACAAAATTGTGACAAACTGAACTATGTGCTGGTATGAGAAAGTGCTTTGGAATGCAGCAGACCCCTCCACGGGGGGTGTGTTCCAAGGCCCCCAGTGGGGGCCTCAAAGTACAGATGCTACTGAACCACGTGTACTGTGATTTTTCTATAATAAAGCTTAATTCATAAATTGGGCCCCCCTCTCTCAAAACTATCTTATTGTCCTGTCCTCACCTTCTCACTTAAAGGAGCCACATGGTGGCTTCCCTGTGGCATTCGTGAAGTGCCAGCGCCGCGGCCCTCGTGCTCCGGGGACTCTGTTAAGTAAAACGAGGGCTGCTTGAGCACCAGCACTGAGACACCACAAGCAGCGGCTAAGCGACGCATGGGTGGGTGACGCGTGGCGTGGAGCCCTGGGCAGAGGGACGACTGACCTCGCGGCGGGACAATGTGGGGCGGCGCGAGGGTTCCTCACGCTACGCAGAGCAGCGTGCAATCTACACGTCACGAATGGCTCATCTTTGGAATTTTTCCATGGACAATTTTCGGCTTGGCGGGGATAAAGGAAACCTTGACAAGCCAAGCCGTGGACAAGAGGGGCCACTGTCCCTGCTAAACGTCGTTGAAGGTGTGTAGGAATGGGATCGGGGTGAGCGGGTTCTGCGGGGCAGGGGGTTCCTGCACCGCTGGGTGACCTCCGCCAGCCTCTGGTCACTCGCTACCTTCTTCTTTAATAACAGAATAAAGAAGTAGGTAGCCTTCTGCTAATTGTTGTTAAACCCTAAAGGAAAGAGGTGTCAAGCAAGATCAGCATTCAACAGTGTCATTTTCAAAGATAAAAGCAAGGTTTCATGGAGCATTGTTTAAGTAACCAGTAATGAGGGTAGGTACACTTACCAAATATGTGAGAGTGTGTGTGTGTGTGTATTTAAAAGGATTCCAAATTAAAAAAACAAAAAAAATAAAGCAGCATATTTAAATTCATTCATTCCCGGCCTCACTCACTATTAAAACAAAGAAGGTAAACCCAGGAGTGCACAGAGTTCTAAGATGTCCTTGACAATGTTAATTTTAAAAAACTGCTTTAAAAAAGGTACTTAAACTATAACCACATTACATTAGCATCTCTACATATAATACATTTTAATTAGATAGAATTTGATCGTGCAAATCTTTTGTTTCACAGAGAGGCTGTTATCTTGTGGCAAAAAAAAATCTAGTAAAATTAAAGCTAGTTTACATACATTCTTTATACAAACGTAAGCGATTCAACATTGTTAACCTTTCCTGTGACTGTAATGTGCTGTATAGAAAGTATTTTTTTAAAAATATATTTGATTTAGTCACTCGTTCCTTGAGGAAAAGGTGATATTTTTAGAACTGAGGAAAAAGAAACGCAAAAGGATCTTAAGCTTATTAAAGGTGTTCCACCTTGTTCATAAAGGATTCCATGAGCTACGGTTTCTCAAATACCAGACGGGGAAGCCCCAGAGTCACCAGCGGCTCTGCCGGTGAGCGGGCGAGGCTGCTGCGCTGGGACCAAGGTGTGGCCCGCCTGGCCGGGGGAGGGCAGGGGTGCACTGAACACACTCTCTCCCCTTCGATACAGCACCCACGCCAGGTGTCCCCCGCGGTGCTCTGACAAAACCACAGACAAATGCGCACGCACAAGTCGAGTAGTAGTGGTGATATTCATGACAAGGAAAAGGAAAGTCACGTGCTCACCGGTAAGGGACACGTAAGGTGTACACATGCACACAATAGAGTTCCATGATGCTGTATTTCTAAGTGTAGAAACTACTCATACGTTACTAGGGAGGGATTTCCTGAGTGTAATATAGGGTGGGGAAAAAAGCAAGGCAGAGAAAAACATGCATGGTACTCAACAGTCGGTTTTAGAAGGGAGTGACCCAGATCTATACCAACAGCTGCAACACTGGTAATTCGTTCACAAGTTTTTAAAATGGGAGAAAAGGAATAATGGTTTGCCCATGGGGGAAGAAAAGGAATATTGGAGTGAACGGGGGTGAAGGCTCTATTTCTGTTCATGCAACTTCTTTCAGCGCTTTGATTTTGGACTGACGTCAATATTTTGCATGATTATTACAACAAACTAAATTTTAAAAGCATTTAAATGAAAATAAATACGTGTGTGATTGGGGACAGAACCGTAGAGTAGCTGTGCTTCACGCCCTCTCCCTGCGGGAATGTAGCCTACTGGCAGAAGGAGGGGCAGAAATCACCCCCCGGCCCCCAGCAATCCTGCCGTGGGGACGGTGGTGCCACTCTAATACCGGTACTGGCGTGTGTGTATTGTCACTTAAGACAAACACGTGAACATGTTGATATCACTTAGGAACAGGATTTTTGCTAAGAAGCAACAACAGTTCTAAGATTAGGGACTTTAAGTACAAATGCCTTAACCTTGAATTTGAACTGGAAATGTCAGTATAGCATTGATAGTGCAGTTTATACTTATTTTCTTAAAGCCTCTTTCCCAGCCCTTTTAGCGAGGCCTAGAGAAAAGGGACCGACGTGGCAACAACAGCTGCGCCAAGCCCGAGGACGGGGCTCCTGAACACCAGGCGCCTCAGGAACGTGGCAGATTCCACGGCTGGGCAAACAACCGTGCAGAGAAAGCCTGGGACGTCTTGTTGAACACGACAGCCTGGCTACGGTGTCCCAAGTGAGGCTATTTACTATTTTTCTTCACTTAGTGTGTTCGAAATGTTCTATAATAAAAAAAAAAGGTTTAAAATTGTAAAATAAATGAGAAATAAACTGATTTTTTAAAAGTAACTTGTCTATGAAGAGAAAGTTTGGAAATGGATGTTTATAAATGTTTTCATGTTATTTGGTTTTGTGAAGAGAAAGGGTTTGCCAAGTTTTTAAAAATCTCATTAAAGAATTAAAAACAGAAATGAAATCTTCCAAACTTCAAATAAATGTCTCATTGGGTTTTGAATCCTTGTGTCAAAAATATAAAAGCACAATACCTTTCAATGAGTTTTCCCTAACAAAATATTGACACCTATATTATGTAAACCTTAATTTAAAAACCATTGCACTATTGGCAGACACATTGAACAAATTACCATACTTTCCAAAGTCAACAATGGAATTAGCTACTTCCATCTGGATCTTTGAAAAGATTTTGAGGTATATTTTTCAGCTATGAACAACAGTAAAACTAAGCATTGAAATAAACTGAATTTAAAACCTGATCATTCAATCAATATACCACATAGTTTCCAACCACAGTTTTCAAAATCAATGAAACCTATTTATTCACACTACAGACATTAAAAATAAATACACAATGAGGTATGGACCTTTACCTCACTTCACAAACAAAATTAACTCAAACTGGACCAGGGACCTAAATACAGGAGATAAGCTATTAAGTGAAAACATAGGGGTAAATTTTCATGACCTTGGATTTGGCAATGGATTCTCACATTTGACACCAAAGCACAAACACTAACAGGAAAAAAAAAATAGATAAACTGAACTTCATCAACATTAAACCTTCTGTGTATCAAGGGACATTATCGCCAACCTACAGAAGAGGAGGAAGGTTTGGAAATCACATATCTGATAAGGGTCCCGCGTCTGGAACACACAAAGAATGGCTGCCACGCAACACGACAAACCGCCCAGTTGAAAATGCCCAAGGGACTCAGAGAGGCCTTTCTCCAAGCAGACAGTCAAATGGCAGACAAGCACAGGAGATGCCCTTCAACACTGCTGGTCATTAAGGAAGTGCAAATCACAACCACACCAAGAGACCCCTGCACACTTAACAGGGTGGCTATTTAAAAAAAGAAAAAGCAGAAAAATAACAAGTTTCTGATGATAGCACAAAAAGGAGCAGCAGCTATGGAAAAATCACTTTGCAGTTCTTCAAAAGGTGAAACACAGAACTACGATACGACCCAGGATTATTCACAATAACCCAAAGGTAAAACAACGCCAATGCTCACAAACAAATGAATGGCTAAACGAATGCGGTAGAGCCACAGAGTGGAATATTATTCAGCCATAAAGAGGAATGAAGATTCACGCCACAACTTGGGTGAACTTCAAAACCGTTATTCTAAGTGGCGGAAGGCAGGCACGAAAGGTCGCATGTTGCGTGTTTGCTTTTATATGATGAGCGCAGAACTGAAGAAGGCATCGAGGCAGACCACAGTGGCCGTTACTAGGTGGGAGCATGGGCGTTTGGGGCGGGGTTACTGAGTGGGCATGGGTTACTTTTCCAGGGAAACTAGAGGGAACCGTGTGGTCACCGCATTGCAGTGTGAATGCACGAAATGTCACTGAATTGTATACTTTAAAATGGTTAATTGTGCATTATATTGAACTGCACCTCAGTTAAAAAATACAAGCAATATAGTGCCAGCAAAAGAGGTTTTGTAAATTTTGAAAGATTTTAAAAATATTTCAAATCTTAAAGAGTTCAGCTTTATCTTATTCTTTTTTCATTTCTCTTTTAATATGTGTTGTTTCATACACATACGTATATGCTCAAATTTTTTTAGCAATAGGCATGGACAAGTTCATAGGGCTGCTCCGGATTAGTAAATCTATAACTTGCAGGGTGCGTCCACAGACAGACTTTATGCACTTTGGCTGAATAATATCGCGCATTTTATTTCCAAGGCCTGTACGCAGGTTTTGCATTTTCTAGTTCTTTCATATCTTAGGGATTTGTATTTTTTTGTGATCCGAACTTTAACGTCTCTTGTCCAGCAATGGTCAAAGAGATACTTAAATTTTCACCCCTCAGCTACAGAGAGGGTGTATCTAAGCTGTTCTTACAGCGACAGCTGCCCTTCGGCTCCCGGTCAGCGCCAACATGGGGCAAACACGCATGACTCACCCACACACGGCAGAGAGTAGCCCAGCTGGGGGTCGTGGACGAACTGCCGGTCGTTCAGCCTGGTCACGCAGTAGAGGTGGAAGCAGTCCAAGCAGATCACGTGGCGGAAGTTGCACTGGAAAACCAGGACCGGGCTCCTGCCAAGGCAAGGACAGATGTTTCTTGTGGGAATTCCACGGCAGGGAGGCCGCATGCGCTGCCGGAGCAAGCCCGCCAGGCGGCAGAACCCTGAGCCCGTGTGTTTCAGGGCTACGTCTTGAGAACCAGAAGCACTTCTTTAGCTATCAGAACATCTATTTCCCTGATTTTATAGGTTTTATGTGAACAGATTTACCAACCAGCTGTTGAAACCCGAGCTCCAAGAGACCCTCTTTCTAGAAGCCTCCCCTGACTTACAATTCCCAGTTAACCTACTAATCACCCCCCCCACACACATGTATTCCTATCGATCCATCATGGCATCAGAGCATTGGTAAGTTTCTCCCATCTTAGGGGCTGAGACCCCCGAGGGAGACCCTGGGCCTACTTTAAGTTGATATTCTCATAGTACGAGGCACGGGAAGGTTTGAAATAAACGTTCCTTGAATTTAGTTATAATAATGTACAGAATCTGAACTTCCCCAAAGTCCAAAGAAAAATGATTATTGAGTCAAAGTAGGCAGGTTAAGCAGGAGATCGTATTTCACGGGCAAGTAGAAAAGGAGAATTTTGAAATGAATGACGGTGCTGCAGAGATTCTTCTACCGTCAGATTTCACATGCGTGGCCACCGCCATCCCACCCAAATGTCCAACACCTTGAATGAAGCTTATGAGATTCCTATACATTGATACATACGAGTCCTAAAAATTTTGGATTCCTTTAAAATGCTCTGTAGGAAAAAAAACCAATCTCCTGAATAACCATGGATTTCTGCTGGCAAATGAACCATACAGTTTTATGACAAAAAGGAGACAAATTGAATATATTAATTTGAGATCATCCCCAAGGAAATTTTCACAGTAAAAAAGTTATTGGACTTTATTTAGATAAGCCCATTCTCTATGTAATGATAATAAATACAAAATATTTTCCACTTCACCCACAATTCCCAACAGATCTGTGCTCTTCAGAAGCCCTTTCCCCAGAAAAACTGATATCAAATATTAATATTACAAAAACATAATTTCTGAACAAAAATATTTTCAAAATTGTGTTTCCACTTATTTCAAAGCAATATCTACTACAGAACAAAATGAGGGGAAAAACCCTTGGCATTTTAATATCCTGGATCTCCAGAACAACGGTCGACTTCACCTCAGCTGGAGGGTCCCTGAATATGTTTCCGAGCTTCCGTGTCCCCTCTCTGAACCCACCCAAGTCCTTCCGGGGCCGTTTCAGCTGAGCGTGGGCTGGGCTCTGAGCTATCAACCGTTGCCCTTGTAGCACGTCCCCCTTGAAGAGGATAAGATGGAACCCTTCCCTGCTTCTAACCTCGGAGTCACACGGCCCACGCACAGCCCATTCGCCCTTTGCGACCCCGTGGAGCTGCTCCTCTGGACCTGCCCTGTCCCCACCAGGTCCTGGGAAAAATGCCATCCAGTCTGACTTTAGCAACATGGTCGATTAAGCCTGTAGAGACCCCTCGTCTGCTACCAACACATGGAAAATGGGAGAAAATATGAGACCTTTGCTAAAAACGTTCTGTCTGGAGTCTGTTCATATCTATAACTACATATATAACTACACATGCGGGGGTATAGATATATAGCAGAATAAATATAAGTCACACAACTGTGTTGATTCATAGATATCGAACACATAGTGACATACAGTCATAGATAGCACATGTACAGACTTGACAGAGAATGATCTGTCAGCTGGATTTCTTGATACAGTTAAGAGGTAAGATTGCTTATTTCTTACAAAGACTATTCCTAGTACTTGTGAAACATTTAGAGGAGGGATGAGCCTGACACACAAAGAAACGTTATGAGATTAACCAACCTCTGAGAAAGTGAGTAAAAATCATTTCCCGGATAGAGGGACCACATAACCAGCGGCCGACGCGCCAACATTGACGAGCGCCGACGCCGGCCGAGGCACCGCACCGCGTTCCCCGCATTCCCTGCTCCTGAAACGAGCCGCCGGACGCCCCCTCCCTCGTGCCCGCCTCCCGCCCCGTGGGCGCCCCCCACCCAACCGGGCACCCACTTCCAGCGCCTTTAGCAGAAGGAACGCGGGGCCACTGTCGTTCATCCCGTAGTGTAATACTGGCCTTTACATTTAAACCCAAATCCCGGACGGCAGGGTCCGGGTCCAGACTGGAGACCTTCAAGAAGCTCCGCCCGGAGCGCAGCTGTGCACTGAGCCTCCCCTGCCTCCCACCTTTCCGCCCGCGAGGCCTGTCGCGTGCGCTGCGGGCGGCGCCGCCACCCCCGCTTAGCCGCCGGCATCCACGGAAAAGCCCGGGGCCGCCGCGGCCACACACACGAGGCGGACGCGCTCACGACCCGGCCGCGCCTCACCGCCCACGGCGCCGAGCGCGGGTCAGTTAGTTATGCAATCCCGTGACGGGCTGGGCCCGTGGAGAAACGACCAGAATGTTTTAATTTTATATATTTTTTTGTTCCCTTTCATACCTTTTTATTCAATTTTCATTGAGCATCCACTTTGGCTACAGTAGGCACGTCCTAAACACGTGGAATTTCACACGGAGTGACCGAACACCTTATAGTCGGGACTGGGACAAACAACGGGAAGCGTGCACGTGTGCGTGCGCGTGCGTGCGCACACACGTGTGCACACGCGCGCACGCCGTGCTGAGCCCGGGGACGCAGGGAGGTGGAACCGGTGCCCCAGGAGGTTTGCGCAACCACCGCGCCCTGGCCCTTGGATGGTGGAGGAGGCCGGAAGGATGAGTCCGCCCGGCTCCGTGGGGAACCTGAGCTGAACGCAAACAAATGGGAAAAGAGACTCTGGGTCACGGCAACTGCCGAGCAACGTGCCTTCTGCTCAGGGGAGGAAACAGAGGTGGCAAAGAATTCCTACAGCAGAAAAGCTGTCCGCCGGGCTGACGGAGAAGATGTCTCGGAGAAAGAGGAGAAGAGAGGAAAAGGGCTGGGGACAGAGGCGATCCTGGTCCGGGACGGTGGCGGGGGCTCTCGGAGAATGTCCTAGTGTCTGGCTTTCGGCCATGGGATTCGGTGCAGGCCCTGAGCGCAGGCGGAGTGACGCTTCGGTAACCCTGAGGGGCGAGTTTAATTCTGCGGGATGTGTGCAGGGAGACAGGCTGAAGTCGTGAAATCTGTCTGGAGGTCGCGTTAACGACTTGGCGTGCGTCACTGAGGGCCGGGACGGTGGCGCGCGGGTGGACTCGGGAACGGAAACCACAAGATGGATAGCAGTGACATTTCCGAGGAGAACAAGTCCAGGACGTCCCTTCTCGCGGGTCTTTGTTCCTCCCGACAGTCTTCTGTGCCCTTTGCTCAAATTACATATAAATGTTAATGGATCAATCTAGAAAATGATTTTACCCCAGTGAGCCAGGGTACCGCGCCGTGAATCAAAGGTTACGTAAAGTTCTCCACCATGTGGAAAGGGAATCGTACACGCGGCACCTGACATTCCTGAGGAGTTATTTGTACGCAACGGCTTGACCCTGGCGCCCTTTGTTCACGGCATATTGGGCGTAACTGAAGCTGTCTTCGTAGAAAACATGGCGCGCCATCCACATACATCACCCAAAGTAGAGCATTGCTACACAGAAGTCCAAATGCGTGAACAGCTATAAATCAGTTCTCCAGCATCTATAAACAGCAACGGTGTTTTCACATGTAGGTGACAAACGTGGGTTTTAACCGGCTCCCTAGCTGCTGTTTCTCCCTCTCTGTCTCTCTCCATCCGTCCGTCCAAATCTGTCTGTGTTTCTGGCTGCTTCTTTCCCACATGCGCATCCTCATTTCTACCCAAGAAAAGAGAGGCTGTGGCTCCCGCATGTGGACTGGGCGTGACGTGTGAGGAGTGCAACGCCCCAGAAACGTTTACAGACGTGAGGACCCGGAAGCACGTCTAAACGCTAAAGGAAGCAGCGATCTAGTAGCGAACGCGAGAGGGCGCCAACGGCGGGGCGGCGGGGCTGGTCATTTCATGGCCGGGGAGCGATGCGGGCAGCTCGCAGGCTCGGGCGCAGCCTCCGCCTGTTCCCCAGGGCCCCTCCCCCGCCGGGTTTCACGTGGCGCCCTCCCCCGCCCCGGCGGGGGACTGACCTGCGCTGCAGCGGGGAAGACGCAGGCACGGAGGTGTGTGATTCCAGAACTGGATCAGAAAACACGCGGCAGCGGCTCCCTGTGCTCTCCCCGGGGGTTGCCTGCAGGGGGAGCGTGCCTGGCCACGCTGCAAGGACCCCCAAGCGGTCCTGCGGAGGAGTCCCCGCGGCCGGCGCTGAAGCTCCTGCCAACAGCCAGCAGCGGCTCTGCAGCCGGCCGACACGGTCCCGGGCTGCGGCAAGCCCAGGGGACCGCAGCCCGGGCTGACGCCGGGTCCCTCAGCCCGGTCCCCCGCGCAACCCTCCAGCTCGGCTGCTCCGAACTCCTGGCCCACCGGACCTGTGCAAGCCGACGTGCACTGCTGTCGTAAGCCACCGCGTTTGGGGATACCTGTTTAAAGGCAGTGATACGCCTGACACAGGCCCAGCGGGGGATGAGATCGCACTTAGAGAGCAGATCAGAAAAGAGCCGACGGAAGCAGTGGCATCCGAGGGAGAAGCTGGACTCGGGGGCACGGAGACGGGAGGACATCCCGAGCCGAGGGAAGGGGCGGGGCGGCCGTGAAAGGACCGGCGTGCGAAGAGGGTGCTGAGCGGAGCCGCGCCTTCGTTTGCACAGTGAAAAGCGAAGTTAAATACGAGCACGTAATAGAGCGGCGGCGTCAGAATAAAAACATGCGGTGCGCACCATGGAGGAGAGAGACACACATTTTCCTCACTGGCGGGAGAAAGCCCTTAAATGGGACAAACCGGACTTGGCCCTCGGACATTCACACATTGTCCCTGCAGTATTTGGGCAGCCGTCACCCCGATGTCGCGCCCCAGTTAGCCAGCCTCCAGTGCTCTCCGCAAACCCTCAGGGGTGCACGAACAGCTCCGGCTCCTGGGAATT